CGAGCACCAGAGTCAAAACTTCCACCAATTGTCTATGTTAGTGGTATGGGTCTCAGCATGTACTTTGTTAAACCACTGCTTTTGAAATTCGTCGAATATATGGACGAGCCTGTTGAAATAATTTCATTTGATCCTCCTGGATATGGTGCTTCTGAACCTCCTAACGATTGGGATACAGAAAATGCAGAGAGTCAACGCTTACTTTTACGACAAGTAATTGCTAAGTCGACACTTCGAAAACCATTTATTCTTTTGGGTGCATCAGCTGGAGGTTTATTGGCGCATCTCTATTGTTTGACATATCCAGAAGATGTTGCGGGTATTATTTTGACTGATCCAACACCGTCCACCATATTTGAACAAGGAAGTCCGATCGGAAAGGTTTTGAATCGTGCATGTATCCAATGTGGAATAATGGCTCGTGTCGCTTCCTGGGGCTTCCTGAGACCACTTTCATTCTTGTTACATCATTTCTCAACTGGTGATGTCGGTGATATTTTTCGTTGTTCACATCCAGGTTACACTGCTCTTTTAATGACACACACCATGTTACAGAAACTTGCAAGTCAACTGCGCTACTTGCATACCATCCCGGATTGTATATCAAAGCAGCTGCACGATGATGCTACAAGTCATAGAAATATACCTTTGCTAGTTTTAAGTGCATTAAATTGGACCAAAAAACGACCTTATGGTGGTTTCACTAGAGAAGAAATGAGTCAATGGTGGAGTGAAAGTCACCAATTCTTTGTTCGTAATTCTGATAATGCTGGTTTTATTCCTCGTACAGATTATACTCATATGCAGTGTATAGTGGACATGGAACTAGTAGCTAACGCCACAAAAGCTGTCTTGACACAAATTCATAGCGAGATTGTTCATTAATACTTTTTCTTTCTCTAAATACAAATAGGAACAAAATCAAATAATCATGTAACTTTCAAAATTTAATAAAATCTGATAAAACAAATGATATTCGTGTATATTGAAAATAGCTCACAACATGTCTCGTTCTAAAGATTCTGCTATATACAATAAGAAGAAAATTAATTTAGTGTTCGTTGTTGCTATAAAAAAAAACAGCTGAAAGTTCAATATTTTGAGAATTTGATGGTATAATTAATTATTCTTTGTCAATGATTGATATTATTTGAGAAAGAAATCTTATGTATGATGATATTGATTTATGATTTTATAACAATAATTATTCATCCATCGTACTCCATAGTGTTATTTATGTTGAACATTCATCAGTATATGTATGTAACTTTATCATTTTTTTTTGAATTTGTATAAAGCGATCGTTTATTTTATAGGGTATGGGTGAGCGAAGAGGAGATTAACAGTCAGACCTATACCCTTGTAAATTAGATGTACCACAATCTGTTTTACTCATGCGTGTTTATTATGATACATGGAATACAAGACATGTAACTAAATCAAATGAAGAAAATCTTATTCATGATAATTTGAAAGACTCAGAATATGAAAGTGTCCTTGTATTAATACGAATTGACTTTGATTTTATAAAGAAATATAATTTCACGTCAATGTATTAATTATGAATTAATTTTATTTGAACAAGCTTAAATAATTGCACGAAAAAACAAACAAACAAATGTTTTCTTCTTCGCGCGACGGATATAATACTTTACAGAGTAGTCGCACGAATTTGTTTTCCAAATAATAAAAATATCTGTTCAAGTGTTGTTTGTGATATAATGTATGTTTCAATATTTAATCTTTGCTTATTTTCTTCAAGTAATTGAAACAATTCAGCTGGTGTACTATGTTCAATTTGAAATAAACCAGTTGAATGTGTTGTCTCTTTAACTTCAACATGATATTGTTTTTGAGATAATAAAAATGATTGAACATTTCGTATGGTTGTTGGATTTATATCATCGATACTTGAACGAATTTTTATTTCAACTGTATAACCTCGATCCAATTTGGATTTTAAATGTTGCATTGTATCTAAACAAGCTAATTAACCATTAACCATCATGCCAAGACGATTACAAATACGTTCACTAGAATTCAGAAAAACAGAAAGAATATTTTGATTCATTTGATGAAAAAATATTTTTTGCATTTGTTGTCGAGCATTTCGATCGACATCGGCTGTTGGTTTATCAAGAATAACAACTAGTGGAGGTCCTTAAGTGAAAAAAGTTTTCAACATTGTTATTGATTTATTTTATTTTATCGATTAGTACTATAGCAGTATGTAATCGACGTTTTGTACCATCACATAATTCATGTATATCATTATTTAAAAATGAATCAAGTAAAAATAATGAACTCATATTTTCAACAATAGAGTTTATACGTGATGCTTCAACACCACGTATACGTGCTAATAAATAAAGACTATTTTGAACAGTTAGAACATCCATACTACAATTTTCTTGTGGACAATAACCTAAATGACGTGTTGATCTTAGTCGACGATAAACAGTTTGTCCATCGATATAAGCTGTGCCTTGTGTTCACGTCAAATTGTCTACAGTCAAATATTGCATATATTATTCTATTACTATTTCAATGTATCATTTTTAGAGTCCATTGAATTCGTCCCAAACTAGACAAGTGTGGAATTGAAACCCTATGATATCCTTAACTGTGTCACCACCTTTCGAGTGAAATTTTTCGGACACCATATAGAGATGTATGGAATCGGAACTCAAATTTACAGTAAACTCTTCTATGGTTTTCCGTAAATTACCTTGCAAATCATATGAAACCGAGTGTGACTCAAGAGAGAGATGACATCAACAAGTGCTTGTTAAAGACTAAATAAACGCGTTTAGAAGAATTATTTCTAAGTGTAATACCAATAAATTCTGGAATATATTTCTATTTACTCGGAGCCCATAAAAATTTAAATACATAATAAATTAGTCAACAATGCTTCGTCCAATCAAGCAAGTGATTACATAATATTTAAATCACTGTTATCACCAACTAAAACACGAAATGTTGTTGTTTTTCCAGCACCGTATTTAAATCAATTCTAAATATTTTTCTATTTCAAAAATTCTTTGACATACTTACATTATAGCCAAGTAAACCAAATGCTTCACTACGTTGAGCACCAAATGTTAAATGATTAACATCTAAAACTTTACGTATTGGATAATATTTAACAAGATTATTAACTGTTAAATGGTCAGCATGTTCTTCATCTTCAAATGGTTTTCTACGATGCTTCAATATTCGATGACGTTCAACTAAAGCATTATCATCACATTTATTTTCATCAAAATTTGATTTATATAAAGATGAAAACGAAAATTGTAATAACCACTATCAATTATAATTAATATTAATTATAATAACAATAACACATGCAAAACAAGAATGACAACATTCCATCCAATTGTATCATTACCAATTGCTTTAAAAAGTGACAGTCCAAAGTCAGTTAAACCGAATGGATCAGTAATAAATCTACAAAGCTTACTCTTTCGTGCTAAAATGTATGTTACTATAACTTGTGCATTTATACTTGGTGATATTATATTAAATAACCAATATAAAAGTTTTTGAACAAATATACTTTGAACAATCATTGTTACTACTGGTATAATAATACTTATAAAATGTAAAATTATTAATAGAAAACAGATTGTTATATCACGCTAAAAATTAAAATCATAAATAGAATATGAAATTCTGTCAAAAAGTTAGTTCATTCAAAATGAAGGAAAGAAAGAATTGCTGATTAGATCTTCATAAATGTGTATCTCGTACAGTACATTATCATTAGAGTCTATTTACAACATTGTTTGTTTTCGCTATAGGAATGTTTTAGATAAATGCTTCTTTACTTACGAAGAAGTCTCATTACTCTTGCGATCAATTTTACTTCATCAAATTAGATAAGTTCGTTAGGATTAGACAAATCCTAATCAGATTCTTATTCATTCAGAGCAATGATTCTGATGTACCAAATCCGTGAAGTTCCAATAGTTAAATTCGGGAACATGATAAGAACTTGAAGGCAGAGATCTGAATGTCAGAATGATTGATCTGGATGAATAGAATCTTTTTTAGGATTTCTGTAATCTTAGCACGCCTGCCTATTGAGATAAAACTCATTTCAAAAGTGATTTTTCATTTGATGAGATACCATTGTAACGCCGTTTACACTTCTTAGAACAACAACAACAACAACAACACATTCATACATTCTACGAGACTAATTATTCAGTCAGAAATTGCGAAAAAGACAATACATATAAGCATATCATTTCTGAAAAATTTTCTTAATAAGTAAGCAAATGGTAATGCTGATAATGCATTTAAAATTGTTAATGGATAATATTGTATTCGTAAATCCAATGAATTTGCAAATTCAAATGGAAGAATAGTTTCTAATCGAATTTTCTTCTTTGGTGAGCCATTAAAGGCAACATAAACTATGCAATAAACAGTAAGTAAATAACAGAAATAATTATATCGAATAGATAACTAAATAGTCAATATGATGCTGGACTAGAATAGAAAATGCGTTAAAAAAATGTCTTTCATAATCATTTAGTGAACAGACGCTAGGCGTTTTATATATGACAGAAGATAACCCTCATGGAGAGTCGCTTCAAGTGCTGTTCGTCCCAAGTTATATTAATATTTTCGCATTTTCTTAATTCGTGGGAGGCATTCGTCAAAGAATCGAAGTTTGGAATTGCAACCTAAAGAAATTCGCTCTTTTTCAGATATTGCATATCCAGAAACAACGATATGTCTCAAGAAGAAACGGTTGAAAGTCCAATGTTGTCGATCATTCGATACTTCAAGAATAGCAAATCCTTTTGTGCTGAAATTTTCAAGTTCACGAAGCCGACGTTTGAATAGAATTTCGTGAATATCTTGTCGGAGATTTGAAAACATCCACTAAAATTGTAATAGCATGAGAAGAACTGCGGATAAGAACAAACCCTTCTACTAGTGTCTTTGGGAGTTAATTATGGGCAAAGGATCAATTCGATTGATGCGTGTCAGCGGAGGAACTTTCTTCGTTAAAACGAACTATTATTTCTTGAAGATCTCAATCTCAAAAACTGTGATTGTGTTTCTGTATCTGAGAACATTCAATGTCTAAATAATGCTAATGTTAGCCGAAAATTTTGGTTTTTTCATACGGAAAGAAACGAATGTCTCGATCGATCTTTAAGGTGTGGATGT